AAAAATTAAATACATAGACAATAAAAGTACACAATAAAGAGAATATGATTTCCAATAAATATAAGAAAGTAATATTTCCGCCCACAAACTGAGTGCTGTCCAGGTAATATTTGGGTACCTTACCTTTTCGGGTACGAGTTATACAAATGATGTAGTAAATTAAGTTTAATAAACGCCACAATAGATAGAAATACTTCTTATATGAGTTCCTATACTGAATCACTTCTAATCTTTCATTCACTTTATAGTCACACATTAAACCAAATTTATTCATTTCAAAGCTGATAATTGCATAGATATTTTTATGAACGTATACTTCTGGGAATATTTTATTATAAACTCTTATAAAATGTTTAGTAATCATCCTGAACAAAATTATAGACGGTTATTTTTATAAATAAAAATAATTCTGTATTTAAATGTTTGTATGCTGTAACTACCGTATATTATTAGAAATATTGATTGCCCTCTAAAATGAAAATCATTGCCAAATCTATTGGTAATTATTATGATTTATGGTTTGTAGTAAAACTTATGCAATTTATAGATTACAAATATCATGGAAAACAACAATTAATAGTATTATTCTAATTTTATTTCACAAAAATATTTTTGCTGTTTTATTGTTATTAGGTTAGTAGTTATAGTAATTTTTTATTTTATAATAGTAAATCGTAAACATTTTCATTGACATTTAACAATATAATAAAAACACATATTGATATCAAATGAAACACAGACTTAATTATGCCTATTATCTACGTTAATCAATAGATAATCAGTATATAAGCTAGAACATATTTTAACAAAAAAAACCATAATTTAGAAATATATATTTAGTGTAATTACAGTAATTGCTACTGTATATTAGTGTGACCAACTCGAAATTTTAAAATCCTGGATTTTTAGGTAAATATTTCATAAAATTCCTGGACAATCCTGGACATATGTTTTAAAGCTATATTTGGTATATTAATTTTTATTTTGGTCCAGAATTAACATAACAAATATAGATAACACTACTTTAATACTTCAGTATATAGATTTAGCTTAAATTTAAATATACCTCATATTATTTTAGCTATATATTAAATAAATTTTAAAAAATTAAATGTGAATTAAATTCTAAAATTACAAATGATATACAATAATATTGTACAACAGATGTACCAAATAACGCCTTAAATATATCAACAAATTATATACTTACAATATGACAGACAACTAACAGCCCTGTTAATAGGTAACTACTAATTTATGTAAAATAAATGATAATTATAAAAATGATAAATAATATACCAATATAACACTATTTGATATATAAAGTATGAGATATACAGTATATCTGAGTAATGTGCCGGATTATTTAATCTTATATTTTTATATAAAAATAATAATTTATTATTAATAAATTAATCATAAATAATAGGCCATAATTACAAATAAAACAAAATTTCAAAAACTCAAAATTAAGTTGAGGTCTTATCATTAATTTATTCAATTTGCTTAAAAATATGTAAATCTTTATGTTAACATTTCTTTTGTATAATTCCTGGACACTACATTGTCCAGGTGAGACCTTGCCCTGGACACTGGACAGATACACTAATTCCTGGACAGTCCAGGTCAACCCTGGACGGTTGGTCACAGTACTGTATATATCAGTTTACAATCGGTTTATTATTAGATATACAGTACTTATATTATTAAAGCACTGCCAAAATATAGTTAATCTCAAATCTTATCATTAAATCTTTAATAAAAAATGATTTCTTTTGAGAATCTCTGCATATGTCTTATAAATATACTGAAGTATACCTTATAAATAGCATTATTTGTACACTAGGACCATATATTAATTGAAAAAATTAAAAAGTGTTAAAATGAATATAAGATTTACATATTTTATACTATTATTTATCTTAAATGTAATAAACGGTTGCATTTGTGGAGATATATCAGTGGACATATGTATATACGGGGGCACATCAGCCGGTGTTATGGCCGCATATAATTAAAATAGCCAGTAGTATAATATTCCGACTTGTACCTAATAGTATCTCATGTAACATAGTTAAATTACCAGGGACGATTATAAATAGAAATCCCAAATAAAATGTAGACCAAAACATATTGTAATTTGTAATTAAATGACAAACATTGTTATGATCGGTAATTGACTTGATAACTGAGTTTTTATTTAGATTAAGCCTTAAATTGAAATTCAATTCTTTAAACTTAAGTCTACAAAAGTCACAAACTATGAAATAACAGAGAAAACTGTAGGTATCGATAGGAACGATAGCATAGCCCAGTGCTGCTAATTGTAATGAACTTAATATGCCATACATTAAAAAGCCATAGAAATCATAAACAAATAGACATAAAAATATACCTAAACTACCCATCAGTAAGGGTTGTGTGTTATTGTAAATTCGCATAAATTTCAAAAATAAGTGGACTCTTCGGCAAAAGTTTATCATTTTTCTCCTATCATTTAAACCCAATGTTTTCATTGCTTCAAAACTGTCCATTGCTTTGACTATTTGAAGCCAATTGTAATGACTTGGTTGTGAAAAGTTGAAGACATAGACAACAAAAGTGCACAAAACAATATTGATGATTTCCAATAAATATAGAAAGGTGATATTACCGCCCACAAACTGAGTGCAGTCCATGTAATAGTTGGGTACACTTCCGTTGACATTACTTTTTATACAAATTATGTAATAAATTATATTCAATGAACGCCACAATAAATGAAAATACTTTTTATATGAATTTCTATATTTAATCACTTTTAAACTTTCATTAACTTCATAATCACATATTAATCCATATTTATTTAATTCAAATATTATGACTTTATATAAATTTTCTACTTTGTTATTCTTGAAAAATAATTTTTTATACATTCTCTCTGATACTTTATTAAACATTATGGAAAATGTATTTAACTTATACACCGGTAAGTAAGAAATTATATGTTGTCTTGCAAGCAAATATGGGATTTAACCTAATTTCGCATAAACTAAAATTATAAATAAAATACATTTTTATTGAATATCTGTTAATAGCGTATAATACAGTAGATATAAAAATATTGATTTCTTATTAAAACTGACACATAATTTTTAAACAGAATATATTTTGATTAATGATTAATACTCTAATAATATGAGAACTAAACTTTTAAATAGCTTTTAACAACAACTTTAAGAATATTTAAATGTAAACAATTCATAAATTTATAAATTAAATATATTGTACAGAAATGATTAATTTTTATATTCATATCGATAAATGAGAAAAGCTAATATAAATGTACCAGATACCAAAATGTACCAATATAAAGCAATAATATATCCATAATAATAAAATATTATTTACATTAAGTGAATATTATTTATAAATAAAATTTTATTTGATTTTCGAAATTATTCTAAATATAATGTAAATATATATATATATATATATATATAATTCTTATTAAATTATAATAAATATGTACTTGATACAGTACAATAATACTCAGAAATTAAGTAAACATAATGAATAGTACATACTGTAGTAGTTAATGAATTTCTATATTTAAATGAACACTGAATTTATTGAACTGTACCAGTCAAAATTCAAAATCTATTAAACAGTAATTATTCTAAATCTGATTTAAGACTATTTTCTAGTTTAGTTGTTAATATAAAAAATCGGCCAAACATTATAGCAATCTATGAATAAAAAATTATTAAAATAAATCACTCACATAAATAAACATTACTTACTCTGAATGCAATCATAGGAGTCATTACAAACTGTTTTCCACACGAAAAGCCAATTAACCGATTCCTATCGCTAACCCTTTCCATTGCATTGATTAACTTTAATTGAAATATGAATCTACAATCTCATTAAACTTAGGAAAGTAAGTGCTAAAAACCTTGATATCATTTTTGATTCCCAATCGTCTGATTCGTGAGATATTATATAAGTTTTTATACGATTTATTGGCCTCTTTATGGACAGTAGCCGTCATGAAGTTAATGCTAAATATGGCTACAATACACACTATAAATCCCATCGATAGTGCGCCCAACAAAATAATATTTCGACTTTTGCCTAATAGTATTCCGTGTAATAACATAATGTTACCAGGAACAATTATAAATAAAAAGCCCAAATAAAATGTACTCCAAAATGTATTATACTTTTTAATTAGCAAGCACAGACNTGATGCGTCCAATGGTTGTTGTCTTTGTACTCATCCTTAGGGTAACCCCACGTCAACATCTCGTCCCTCAAGGGTTGGGGCACTTGTGGGTCGTGTCCTACGAAATATAGGAATCCTTTGGTGTAGTCTTCGTGTTGTTTAATAATCTTATTTCGGGTTTCATAAGAGCCGTCCGGGTACTCATAATTCATACCAATCATATCAGTACTAAACGGACCCTCATTATTGAAGTCTGTCTTATGGTTAGGCATTAGATCTTGTTTTAGAAAACTTCGGATCAATTTTGGTTTTGTTTTCTCTATTAATCTTATAAAAAGTTGGTAATGTTTGGGGTTATAGTTATCCGGTTGTGTAATGTCTATTAGATTAGTTTTATTGTTTGTTAGGCATATTCTGTAATTATAAGCTTGTATCTTTTTATCTCCCGTTCCCTGTTTAGCAACAGTTTCGCTACTTATACCCCACAATAAACCACTGGATTTATTACCGGGGATTACATACGGATCGATACCATCGGGAAACTGATGACCCGATAGCATCTGTACGCCGTCATGACTTTCATTGTACACAGCGTTGGCTTCTCGGCCTTTGATGTGGAAATTTAAACATTAATTTTATATAATAAGATAATTCAAACTTATTAATACCAAAAGTATATGAGATGTTAGCCCTGACCATGAGGTCGCCCTCATAACTGCAATCGATAAACATTTTAGCCGTAATGACAACATTAGTGCTATTCTGCGGATCACTTGACTTCCCGACAACTATTGAATCGACTTTTTTGTCGATAATTTTTGCCGAAATAATTCTCGAGTCAAACAAAACGCTAACATTTGCTTCACTTATGTATGAATTATAGACCACTTCTGCGACGTGTGGCTCAAAAGTATACGTTTCGGTGGTTTTGCCGTATTTCTCACCAACTCTTAGGTAAAAATCTTTGGCTAAACCAATGATCGCAGACTTATCGCCGTAATCAGTGAACCCGAGCCCACCAGATGTGACACCTCCCAGATGTCTGCCCGGCTCTATCAGTACAACACTTTTGCCCAGTTTTTTGGCCTTATATGCGGCCATAACACCGGCTGATGTGCCCCCGTATATACATATGTCCACTGATATATCTCCACAAATGCAACCGTTTATTACATTTAAGATAAATAATAGTATAAAATATGTAAATCTTATATCCATTTTGACACTTTTTAATTTTTTGAATTAATTTATGGTCCTAGTGTACAAATAATGCTATTTATAAGGTATACTTCAGTATATTTATAAGACATATGCAGAGATTCTCAAAAGAAATCATTTTTTATTAAGGATTTAATGATAAGATTTGAGATTAACTATATTTTGGCAGTGCTTTAATAATATAAGTACTGTATATCTAATAATAAACCGATTGTAAACTCATATATACAGTAGCAATTACTGTAATTACACTAAATATATATTTCTAAATTATGGTTTTTTTTGTTAAAATATGTTCTAGCTTATATACTGATTATCTATTGATTAACGTAGATAATAGGCATAATTAAGTCTGTGTTTCATTTGATATGAATATGTGTTTTTATTATATTGTTAAATGTCAATGAAAATGTTTACGATTTAATATTATAAAATAAAAAATTACTATAACTACTAACCTAATAACAATAAAACAGCAAAAATATTTTTGTGAAATAAAATTAGAATAATACTATTAATTGTTGTTTTCCATGATATTTGTTTACGATTTAATATTATAAAATAAAAATTACTATAACTACTAACCTAATAACAATAAAACAGCAAAAATATTTTTGTGAAATAAAATTAGAATAATACTATTAATTGTTGTTTTCCATGATATTTGTGATCTATAAATTGCATAAGTTTTACTACAAACCATAAATCATAATAATTACCAATAGGTTTGGCAATGATTTTCATTTTAGAGGGCAATCAATATTTCTAATAATATACGGTAGTTACAGCATACAAACATTTAAATACAGAATTATTTTTATTTATAAAAATAACGGTCTATAATTTTGTTCAGGATGGTTACTAAACATTTGATAAGAGTTTATAATAAAATATTCCCAGAAGTATACGTTAATAAAAATATTTATGCAATTATCAGCTTTGAAATGAATAAATTTGGTTTAATGTGTGACTATAAAGTGGATGAAAGATTAGAAGTGATTCAGTATAGGAACTCATATAAGAAGTATTTCTATCTATTGTGGCGTTTATTAAACTTAATTTACTACACCATTTGTATAGCTCGTACCCGGAAAGGTAAGGTACCCAAATATTACCTGGACAGCACTCAGTTTGTGGGCGGAAATATTACTTTCTTATATTTATTGGAAATCATATTCTCTTTATTGTGTACTTTTATTGTCTATGTATTTAATTTTTCACATCACAATCAATACAATTGGCTTCAAATAGTCAAAGCAATGGATAGTTTGGAGGCTATGAGAAGATTGGGTTTAAATGAAAGGAGAAAAATGATAAACTTTTGCCGAAGAGTTAACTTTTATCTCAAGTTTTTAAGGTTTTCTTACAATACAGCGCCTATTCTAATGGGCCTTTTGGGGGTATTTTTGTGTTCACTTGCTTACGATTTACATGATTTCATAATATATGGTATCTTAAGTTCATTACAATTGCTAGCACTAGGATATGCAATAGTACCGGCTGAGTGTTTTAGTTTTCTCTGTTATTTCATAGTTTGCGACTTTTGTAGACTTAAGTTTAGAGAATTGAATTTTAGATTAAGACTTAATATAAACTCGGATTTAATTAAACAGTCAATTGTCGACCACAACAGTCTGTGCTTGCTAATTAAAAAGTATAATACATTTTGGAGTACATTTTATTTGGGCTTTTTATTTATAATTGTTCCTGGTAACATTATGTTATTACACGGAATACTATTAGGCAAAAGTCGAAATAT